ACACGATGGATCAATCAGCATACATTCTGCTGCCTGTTTCATAATAAAAATTAATTTAAGAATATATATATATATATATATATACATATATATATATATATTCTAATGTTTAAATATGTTATGTTACTGTAATATATTTCCTTTTATATATTTATATTGTTGTCATATATTTGTTATTTATTTACATGTATGTATATAAGTATTTACATATGTCAAAATTGTATTTATATTATTTAATAATTTTAATTTGTATAGAATGCATTATTATTATTTAATATATTTATTGGCATAAATAGTAAATACATATATAAAAATAAAATAATTTATTCATATATATTTTGTTGTTATATATTTATATTGTTGCGATATATTTATTATATATTTATATTTAATATTACCAGTAGTAATTAGCAATAATAATTGTTAACTTGTATAACGACTCATAAAAATTGTATATTTATTACACTAGACCTCACCATAGGTGACTATCACAAGTCCAGCTGATTTAAGTGTCCCCGCTTGCTAGACATTTTTATTAACCTAACTGTCAAATGTAGTAGTAGTAGGACATAGGCATAAGTCCTAACTATGCCTAGATACACTAGATAGGTCGTTTAGCCAAATATTTTACCTACCTCCTAAGCAGCCCAATAGTTTTATTAGCAATAGTCCTACTACCTACGTAGCTACAACATGTTTTTTTTAACGTTTATGTTTAAACATGGCTGCTGTAATGACCGTAGTAGAACCAATATTAACTCCCTTGTAGAACCTTGTAGAACTGGTATTAACTATAATAATATTACACATCAGTAGTATAGGGCTACCTAGCCTAACTAGGCTAGGCCTAGTCCTATCTCATGAATAGGCTCTCCTCTCCTTGGCATGCCATCCTAGAAGTGCTGAATATTCAAAATTCTGTATCACATCCTGATCTAAAGTATTAATTCATAATTAGGCATGTCTGCTACTTGTCTGTTATATATGGTAAACTAGACCTAGTCCTAGCAAGGGCCTGAGTCGACGACTTACGAGTAAAAGTGTGGCTCCACCGGCGGGCCCATGATAAATCTGCATACTAGGCCTAGCTATAAAACTCACAGAAAGACTCGAAATGAAACGTCAAAACAAATTTTAATTTAGTAATAATACTATCGAATAGTAACACACATGGAAATCAGTAGCTCACCTAGGCCTAACATTGTCAAATTTAGTGAAATCAAATATGTCTACCTAAAAAAAAAAAATTAACTTTCGTTTGTCATCGCACATTTAAAAAAAAAAACGTAGAGGCAGGTAGGCCTACCTAACATAACATAAAACTAAAAGGATCAGCTGAGTGTCGAGTAGTTTTTGTAACATTCGTAACCTCCTGCATTCGTAACCTCCCGCATTTTATGGGAAATCATAATAATTATGAGCGTTGATTGGTAGTCGGCTCGTGATCAAGGGTGTCGACTGGTACCGATTGGTATCGAGATTCACAGTCACTTACCTCGGCAAACCATTAGACATAGTAGCTACTTTTAGTAGCCACAAAAATCAGTTTTCAGCCGCAATCCGTTTAATTTCAGTTTGGCTGCTATTTATGTGTGGCGACTGAAATACCACAAAAAATATAAGCAAAAAATATATAAGTTTGAGAGAGCAATTCAATATTTCGAGAGCTATTAAAAATAATCCCGACCTGGATCTGAACAATAAAGTACAAAAAAACAAAATAAAATCTCACAAAAAGATATATTTTTTTTTTATTTGGGAGAAAACCAAAACAAACCAACAGCCCACCTAACTACTCTGGCTCCTGTAATTAATATAAACACATATCATAAACATGAGCATTAGAGTGTCTGGTAAAAAATATGAACTAACAACAGTTCTAATAACCTTCAAACTTTAGATAACATCCTAATTAACACACTGCACATTTAAAATGCAATGATCATGTTATAATCATGCAATGAATTAAATCATCTACTTTGTAGACTGTTAGCACTATTAATGTGTATAATGCAACATTGATATTTCAGAACATAGTGTGATTAGATAATTATTATCAATTAAAATTACTGTACTCTTCCAATAACCTCATTAAATCATATAACATTATCATAGATAGGCTGATTTTTAATAAAAACAAAACATTCCCTCATCGTACGATTCACTGAGTGTCATAAGTCTGGTCAAGCTTGAAAACGGCAACGTGAAAATACACGCTATCCTAACAGTATGGTGATTGTATTTTATGCATAGAGCATTTATTATTATTGATTTACACTACATAGGCCTAAAGCTAGTAGTAGGCCACGATACCAATTATCATCATATATAACTACATTAAATAAATCGTCTACTTACAGATTATTAGGATGATAACAAAGAGTTAACTATCGTGTTATAATGCAGTAGTTCAAGCTGTGATTAAAATTGTTATTAGTGAGCAGCTGGTAATAAAGATTTAAAAAAGTACTAGGCATTCCAGTTTCCATACGGCCATGTTTCTCTTTTCCTCCCCCACAAGTCAAGACTTGCCCAAAGAGTATCAAACGTTATAATTTCGTTTAATTTCAGTTTGGCCGCTATTTATGTGTGGCGACTGAAAAACCGCTTAGCCAAAAATGTATAAGTTTGGGAGAGCAATTCAATATTTCGAGAGCTATTAAAAATAATCCCGACCTGGATCTGAACAATAAACTAAAAAAAAAACCCAAAATAAAATCTCACAAAAAGATATATTTTTTTTTTTGAATTTGGGAGTTAAACCAAAACAAACTAACAGCCCACCTAACTACTCTGGCTCTTGTAATTAATATAAAAACATATCATAAACATTAGCATTAGAGTGTCGGATAAAAATATGAACTAACAACAGTTCTAATAACCTTCAAACTTTAGATAACATCATATCATATCATAGATAGGCTGATTATTAATAAAAACAAAAAAAAAAATTATCATCGAACGATTCACTGAGTGTCATAAGTCTGGTCAAGCCTGAAAAAGGTAACGAGAAAAAACACGCTATCCTACAGATTAGAGATTATTAGGATGATTCCAAAGAGTTAAATATCGTGTTTTAATGCAGTAGTTCAAGCAGGGATTAAAATTATTATTAGTGAGCAGCTGGGATTAAAGATTTAAAAATGTATTAGGCACTCCAGTTACGGCCATGTTTCTCTCTTCCTCCTCCACAAGTCAAGATTTGCCCAAAGAGTATCAAACTTTACTGTTGATATAGGGCGCTATTAACTTAACTTTTAGTACATAACATATGCATTAGTTTTTATTTCATAGAAGAATCTCTATTTAAATTATGTACACGGAGTGAAGCCTACTTATAATCCATACTCTTTCTACATTGTTACATTGTTTTTATTCTGTGTAAACCTATAAATTTACTAAATACTCTTATCTTATGCGATGCGTGTAAAATTGCGGTTAAATTTCTTAGAATTGCGTTGCAGTTCGATATTATCACTTTAGTTTTTCATTCATTCATATGGCAAGAAACTGTGATGTAATGATCTCCCCCCCCCCCAGCTTAGTCCGATAGGCCACTGAGGCACGTTCGAGAGCAACCACTTTACGTAAGTATGAAGAATAATCTTTAATATAAATTTCTTTGTGGTGCTTTGCATAATACTAAAAATCGTTCGCTTTTTTGTTTAAGAAATGGTTTCTGGTAGTCCTAAAGGCCAACACCTAGACATAGTCAAGCAAACTGGTATGTCAGGGATGGATTATATTCAATTTCGATTTTTATATAACATCACTGAGAGTAAAGACGGAAACATAACAAAATATGTGTATATTGAAGACTACAAACAGGTTGGCAGACTTTAATATTAATATGAATATGTAATTAATATCTTTTATTTTTTTAAGATCAATTAAATCAAATAAAAAAAATAGCAATGGCATATAGAATAAAGGTTTTTTTAAAGGCATGTATAAAATAAGTTATTATTTAAAAAAAAACAGTACAATCCTCCTCTTCTACATCGTACAGCTTGAGCCGAAAACCTGTTTAGCATTAAACAGCATACTTAGGTGTTCGTTTAGTTTTTCTTTTTATTGTGTAATGGCTTTCGCTTGCCTAACTTCTATGCTTAAAATAAGAGATATCTTAAGCCAAGGATCGCAGTAGTACCTCCTGGTTGGAGCAGCAAATAACATTTTTTGTAAGAGATGTATTTGGCCCTCCGAAAACATGAGCGATATATCTAATGTACTGACTGTATAATACAGTCTCTTAATGGTGATGTTCTAACAATTTCTCCTATCAGTACATTAAAATATTATACAAGTTTGAAGCATTAATCTTCCGATAGTCTGTTTACTCCTGTCTCTTATACACATCTAGATGTGTATAAGAGACAGGTGTCATAAGTCTGGTCAAGCTTGAAAACGGCAACGTGAAAATACACGCTATCCTAACAGTATGGTGATTGTATTTTATGCATAGAGCATTTATTATTATTGATTTACACTACATAGGCCTAAAGCTAGTAGTAGGCCACGATACCAATTATCATCATATATAACTACATTAAATAAATCGTCTACTTACAGATTATTAGGATGATAACAAAGAGTTAACTATCGTGTTATAATGCAGTAGTTCAAGCTGTGATTAAAATTGTTATTAGTGAGCAGCTGGTAATAAAGATTTAAAAAAGTACTAGGCATTCCAGTTTCCATACGGACATGTTTCTCTTTTCCTCCCCCACAAGTACACAAACATATATATTATATAATATTTCTCTGGAGTTTCTGCAGATATTACTCTCCTGAAGACAATTGAAGCTACTCTATTGAAACGTCGAGACTTTCTCAACTACAACAGTTCTTTTCAGAACTACCTACGTGTTGTACCGCAAACTTTCAAACAATACTTTGTTGAGGTCTACGGGGAGCCATTACACCATTTAGTCAGAGAAATTGAGCGTCAGTCTATAAAAGTATGCAAAACTAATTAACAACCTGACCTTTCTCAAGAGATGAAGAGATTCCAAAGTGATACCTCAAGGCTTATTACATTCTTCACCTATTTAAACCAAGGCCGCAAAGCTCAAGAAAGGCAGTTAGGCACTATTGAGGGAACAAATTAGTAATGCCAGATTTTAACTGTATTCTGTAGAAACCACCATCGATCACATTCAAACTAAACTTAACCAACATTTGCAGGAAAGGGACTTGACAAAATCCACAAATTGTCTACCACCGCTAGCCGACTCACCTTCGAGAAAACACGAAATAAAAAGACAAAGAAGTTTAAACGTCTCACATGCAGTAACAGTGACACTTCCAAAGCTTCTATCCGCCGTACGCAGTTCAATGCTAAGACTGTAGTAAACCTCAGCAATCGAAATTTGTCGTCAGCTGAGAGATCAGTACTCGTCCTAGGCTTGAACTTTGCTACGGCACCTTCAACTATACCGAAGAAAGAGATAGTCGAGCGAGTAGAACCTTCACTAACTGGTTTAGACAAGACTTTAGCAGACAGCATCCGTATGCAGATTTCTCAACTGTTTCGCCAGAACATCAGACCGAAATTTAACATCACCAAGGATGAACGAAATGCAATGAAAAGTCTCCGTGCTGACCCTACTATCCATATTTTACCAGCGGACTAAGGCAATGCAACGGTCATCATTGATGTCGCTCAGTACAACGAAAAAATGTTGCATCTCTTGAACACCCCTACGTATATGAGGACCAGGAAATACCCGACTAAAGCCACCGAAAGGAGGGTTACAAGCACGATACTCCAACTACATCGTTTGGAGGCACCCTCAAAGCCATTGTACCATCAACTCTGAACTTCAGCATCCATATGCCCGAGACTATACGGACAACCGAAAATTCATAAAGTGAACATTTCACTACGGCCCATCGTTTCTTCACGAGGATCACTAACCTACCCTCTCGCCGATTATCTTGCTAAGATACTGTATCCACTTGTAGGCAACACTGGTCAGCATGTAGCTAACTTTGTGAAGACCATCCGGGATGTTTACCTCGAATCCACAGACACTCTTGTAAGCTTCGACATCAAATCACTATTCACTAATGTACCGGTCAAGATGGCTTGTCTAATAGCCAAACACCGTCTAGAAGAGGATCACACTCTCAAGGTAAGAACAGATCTAAACCCTGAACCGAATCACGATTTACTTTTACAGTGTTTACTCTGTACTAGTTTTAAATGGGGCGACCAGTTTTTCGAACAAACAGCATGCACACTCACACACACTCATCAAAAGAGCACATTGTATCAGCGACCACAACTCCATCCAGAAAGAAGTGCAATAGGCTAGATAATGCGGAATCGAGAAAGTCTGTGTGTTTACCATATTTGGGACAGCTTTTACACCGCATTCAACGCATTCTACTACAAGCCGATGTCAAAGTGTTTCGTAGCGCATCCAACAAACTATCCCGGACTCTACAAACACACAAGGATAAACCACCATCACAGAATTAACCAGGAGTTTATCGGGTCCCGTGCGAATGTGGAAAAGTTTCTATTGGTGAAACAGGACGAGATCTATGTACTAGGCTCAAGGAACACCAAGGCCATGCAAGGAGAGGGGAACAACAAAAATCGTCTACATTCACACCCACAGTCAACAACACCGTATACATTGGGACAAGGCCAAACTGATAGCCACTGTACCAGAAGGACCAGAGAAGCGATAGAAATCCACAAACACTATACTGTACATCAAGAGCGATATTTGGCTGTCCATGTTTAATCGGACCTAGCTAAGCAGCCGCACCATTTCCCGCCTTCTGGAAATATGCCTTTGGTTTATGGTTGTTCCCATCCCTCTTTCCCGCCATAATGGAAATATACCTTTGTTTTTGGTCGTTCTCATCCCCACCACCTTTCCCGCCATTCTTGAATTATGCCTTTGTTTTGGTCGTTCCCACCCCCTTTTCCGCACTGGAACCAAGCCTTTGGGCGTTCCCATCACTTTGTCTCCGTGAACAATGGCTTTTGTTTTAGCCTTTCCCTAGCAGTCTTTTTAAAGGTCATTTTATCCATCCAGTTACCATCCAGCCTCTCTACCCAAAGTATTTCTCTTTTTTTGCAAATATTATTCTCTTGAAGACTATTGTAGCATTTCCTTAAAAACGTCGGGGCTTTCTCAACTACAACAGTTCTTTTAACAACTACCTACGTGGTGTACCGCAAGCTTCAAATATATTACTAATGTATTATTATATACTGTATATATTTTACTAAATTCTATCTACGTATGCCTGTTCTCATCGGACATTATGATTTCGGGGACCAAAATACTGTAATGATTATTTATGGACTTAAAGGTACCAATATAAAACTATGATAATTTAAAGAGAAAGAAACAGAAACAGGCCATATAAATTTAGCGTTTGGGTTAATAAAAAATGTAAAATAATCTCCGACGTGTGTATTTGTTTCCATTTTTTGTCAGTAGGGGAGTACTCTCGATGACAACATGCTCTTACGAGGGGTCGCATAATACATTAAAATAGAAGAAAATAAACTAAATGTAAATCATATCTCTTGAATTTTGAGTAAAATAATGTCTGATACGATTTTAAGTAAACTTAACCTGTGGAATGCGGCGTGAGACATTAATACACGAATTTTTATGCTGGGTGAGAATGTACTATCACTTTAATTGTATCTACAATTTAAATTACATTTAGTCTAATGTGAAATGTTTACTTTTGGTAGGTCTTAACCTTATTAGCAGTTCAGATATTCAGGCAGATAGACGACAGAACTACAAGGTGCTAATACTAATAGAGCAAATGTTTTGTGATAGAGTGGGCAGGAAGTGGGGAGGGGGTGTGGGGTTTATAATTTCAGATTATCTTGTTGATAATGGTATATTTCATTTTTTTACTGCATACTACAGTCTATAAATACGCTATTTGTATATAGTATCATGACAAATGAAAGAAAACATATAACACGGCGATTATCGACGATTTTTGATCTGATGGCCGGTAACGGCAAAATGCGGAAGAACGTCAAAGGCGGAAACGCCAATGAATCTAGCGGGAACGCTTCTGAACAGGACGGGAGTACTTAGCCTAAAAAAGAAGAACAATATAGTAAATCCAGTGCTGATAAATTACATTATATGGTAGAAATAAAGGAATTGATTGACTTCAAACTACACAAAATCTTAGCCTCTGATTCTGTTTTCATGTTGAAGATAGCCGTATCTTGATGTGATCCAAGCTCAACTTATTAATAAGCTTATTGACCTTATTACGCAAAACATCAGAGATTCTATACAGTTGTATATGAACGAAGCCTATGATAAAATACATAGTTCACAAAATTCAAGGCGTTGAAAATAACTTCGATGAAGCAGAACAGTATTCTAGACGAAACTGTCTAATATTACATGGTGTCCAAGAAGAAAATAATGAAAATACGGATGAGGGGTTGAGGAATATCTTTAGTGAAAAGCTAAATATCTGTGTTGACAATTCTGACATAATAGATCCCACAGATTAAGACTTAAAAATGAATCAAATACAGAAATACCTAGGAGCATTATTATCAATTTCTCAAATTATAATACGATAAATGAAGTATTCAAGGCCAAGCAGAAATTTAAAATCTATTAATATTTCCTACATGAAAGCCTAACTCTTAAATGATAGCAGCTGTTACACGAAATTAAGTTCAAATATGCAAAGTCGATCATGTCCAGCACGACCCAAGATGGTAAAATCTGCATACTCACCAACTCAAAATATAAAGGCTGGTCATCTGTTCACATTCTGACCTTTTAAAATTTTCTCAACACTTAAATGCGCAATGATGTACTCTTTATATATTAATGATACTGATCATCATGACTGAGTTTCAGTACGGCATTTCTTTATCTGACCTTTACTGATCTTAAGAAAAATACTATTATGTGTTTGTCTCTTTGTCTGTTGTTTGTTCATTGTTTGCCTTTCTACATACATTGAATTCATATGTTTTCTTACAATTCTATTGATTATCATTTTGACGACTTAACTGACCATGGTAATCTTACGACAACAGTCAATGAAACCTCTAAATAGTTTTTCTCCCTCCGAAATGGGAAACGTGCAATCTCTTAATGGAGACACCAAAGACACCTTTAGCATATATTTTATATGAACTCTCGCAGTTTACCTAAGAATTTTGATAAAAATGTCTGTATGTTAGAATTTACGAAGATTTCATTTGATTTTCTTTGTTTTTCTGAATCTCGGCTTAGTTCAAGTTCAGCTGCAGCGCGTAATGCGCCGATGTGACCTTATTGACAGTATCGGTGGTGGAGTATGTATGTATATAAAAATTTCACTTAAAATACAAATTAGAACCGATCTGCATATCGATGATGATGAATCTGATAGCTTATTTGTAGAAGTTTGTAACAAATATACAAAAAATATCATCATTTGTACCGTATATTGGCCACCACACTCTAACATTAATATATCTAACCAAGAATTGGTTAAATCCTGTTTCCTGCTTGGTGATTTCAATATTGATTTGAGTAAAATAAACACTCACAGTTCCCCTCGAGAATTCAATAGTATTATCAACTCATTTTCATTTTCCTTTATTATTAATATGCCGACGCGCTTCTCTTTAAGTAATGCTACAGTCTTAGACCTGATATTGACTAATTATACGACTACCCATCAAACTTCAGGTATTTTGCAAACTAACATTACTGATCATTACCCATTTTTTCTTATTACAAAAATGAAAGTATCTAAAAAGCATAAACCCATCCAAAATGCTAAACAAACAAAACTAATAAATTGTAGAACTCTTAATCATTTGTCTAATGAGGAAATTTGGGATGATTTGTATATATTAAACAATCCTAATGAGGCTTATAATTTTGTGAATGGCCGATTGTCCAACCTTATTGATAAACATCTTTCCAAAGTAGAGAACACAACAAATAATTGTAAATTTCCAATTAAACCCTGGATCACCAAAGTTGTACTTAAATGCATTACATGTACTTTTTAAGCAATTCCGATCTGATTCAACTGAATCTAAAAGAGAAAAGTATTTAAAATACAAAAATAAACTTACCCATTGCATACGTAACAATAAACGAAAGCATTACTCCAATTTTCTCTTCGCGGCCAGCTTTGATGATCCCAACCGTACTTGGTCTATCATAAACGAAGTTCTTAACATGGAAAAACTTAATACTGTTACCCCAGATATATTTTGCAACGACAATGATCTTCCAAACAAATTTAATAATCACCTTATTGACATTGGCCCAAATATTGCTAGCAAATTTCCAATTAATAACCATAAAAGTAACACAAATTATCTTTAAGGAAACCATATGGAATCACATTATTTTTTATGCCTACTGATGTCATGGAGTGGAGTTGAATAGCTTAGTGGTTAAGATGCTTGCCTTCTGATCCCATGGTCCTGGGTTCAATTCCTGTCACAGCAGGACTGTTTTTCACGACCAAAACCAACTCCACTCCCTAAGTCTCATAGACAGACTTAGTTTATAAAGCATCATTCTCATCCTGTAAGTGGCAAGTGTACTTGCTGTTGGATGTGAAGGAAATAAAAAAAAAATAAAATAAAAAATAAAAAAATAAT